CTAGCGAGTAACATCACAACCAACCCCAAGGGAACAGGGCTCGTTGTATAAGAAAATACAGTTAATATATAAGAGATCTAAAATCATTGATCTTACTAAAGAGGGTTTTAGTATTTAGAAAGTTACAACACGAGCATAGGTACGTCGAGCGAAATAATCCAAATAAGAAAACCCTCATGTATATACCTTGTATCTCAAATTGCAAATCTCTAAACACCAAACCCGAGGTTCTAGTACAGTAACAATAATAAAAGAAATACAACTAATCTCAGAGTATAAATACAGTGCCATATCATAACTAACATGAGTATCATGCTATTACTTACATGAATATCATATCAAGATTTGCATAAGTGTTATGACGTAAACTCCCGTGGGAGAAATCATATACAGGGTCAAGAAAATATGTCCGATACAGGAACTATGTACTGTGATTTCCAAACTCTTGGAATAAGTGGCAAATGTCCAACACGAGGACTGAAATAGATTATAGTCTAACACGAGGACTTCTATGGATTATAGTCCAACACGAGGACTGTGAAATTGTGCAAATGTCGCTGAGATATATAGAAAATCTACTTATACCAATCCACACTCAAATCAGTGTGTAAGTCCCAAATTTATACCCTCGGGTCATCTATTATGCATGGATACATAGTAAGACAGTGTGTAAGTCCCAAATACAGATGTCTGATAGTCCAGTCAAACTCTTGAACATGAGAGAAATACTCAAAAATACACAAAATAGGGGTTTTACCGGTCGACCGCGCTCTGATACGCGGCTGGCGATCGACTGCTGCGGCTTCGCGGTCGACCGACAGAATGTCACGGTCGACCGAAATGACATTGCGGTCGACCACAATGACATTGCCGTCGACCGCAGCCCTAAAATGAGCCCAGCGGTCGACCTCTCCGGTCGACCGCCAAGCGGACAGAAACCCAAATCTGGGTTTCTGTCAGCTCGAAACCTGAAACAATAATTTGATATTCTACGATAACAAGAGTTTTAATGATTCAAAAATCATACTGAAGATAAACAACTAATCCCAAGCTTAAAATCTACATTTCCAATATTCTAAATCCATGAGAAACAAACCAAAAACGTTTTAATAACTGTAAAAATGATTTAACTCTTGTTTAGGAAATTTTCAGATCTAGATCTTTATAAAACAGAACGTTGGTAAATTTTTATAAACTGAAACCTCTGATTCTTGTTAGCCATATTATAGAGAGTTCATTGTTATACAAAAATACCATTTTGGCTCATCAAAACTCATAGAAATCCAAAAGAAGATCATAGAAAACAAGGGTGGGGGATTGGGCGAGATGATACTCGCCTCTGGTGAGCAGCGGATCGTTGAAACTGAAAGAGGTCGTTTTCCTTCGCTGAATCCCACCAAGAACTGCTGCAAATCCTCAAGAACTTCTCCCAAATCACCAAACAAAGAGGATTAGGGTTTTAGGGAAGAGAGGGGGGCTAGGGTTTTGATTTCAGATCTCCAAAAGGGCTCTATCGGATATATTAGCATATATACCAACTCACAAACCCGACCCGAAACCCGTTTAAACCCGAATCTGAGAAAACCCTCTGATCGCTGTGCGATCGACCGACGCGGTCGACCGCGCAGCACAAAAATGCCTGCTGCTAGGCATTTCACATGCTGGCCATAACACTCGATTTCTCTCACTTTATAAACACCTGTTGGGTTCCCAAACACTGATAAATATATGCATCTTATATATATATGGTTATTTATCACAAAAGAAAGATTTATTACTATTTATTCACACAATTTCATTATAAATTTTTGGGGTTTTACAATAGGGCTTTGGATACTTGACTATCTTTAGACCTAACTTCTGAACCAAGGCCTCAGATATCAAATTCTTCTCGCTACCTGGATCAACTATGGCATCTATCAAACTGGTCTTCACTTGCAACTTAAGAACAAAGAGCTGCTCTCTAGGATCGTCGTCCTCTTTCATTATTTGTTTCCTCGTTATAAGATTGAGACTATTGTTGGGTTTTGTCATCCCCGAAACTTCTTTTGGAACTTGAGCTATCATGTATGCCTTTTTCTCCTCCTTTTTCTTCAACCCCCTTGGCTTGAGATGAGGATACTTCTTCCAGCATCGATTAGCGTATCTTGTCTTCTCGTAATGACTACAAATCAGTCTTGCTTTCCCTAGATCACCCTTCTTCTTCTCCTCATTAGATTGAGAACCACTAGACTCGCATTAAGCTTGTTTTGCATCTCCCTTTGCCTTGTTGCTCCTCTTTTGCTTGCCTTCGATGGAAATATCCTTCATGCTCGCCTCTGTAATAGATTCCACCGTGAATAACTTCATCTCCTTCTGGATGTAATCGCTCAATCCTGTCATATACTTCATAAACACAGAATATTCCTCTGTCGCAATGTTAAGGACCATCGACTGTTGCTAGAACTCCGTGGTGTATTCTTGAATGGTTTGATTGACTCTTTGGTGGAAGTCGTACCACTTGTTCTAACGCTCCTCAAGGAATCCCACCGGGTAAAATTGTTTCCTCAGTAGCTCCTTGAACTTATTCCACGATGTCGCCTTCTTCTCCTGCTTGCAATAGATTTCCACCGTGTTAATGCATGCCCCGAAAGCTTCAAAGTCGCAAACACGAGTTTCTCTTTGGATGAATATCCATAGAGGGTAAAATATGTCTCTATCCGCTCGATCCAATCATCGAGCATCTTGACGTTGACACTCTCATCATAAACAGGAATCTCCATCTTGAAGTCTATTTTTAAATTCTGCTAAGAACTCTTACCTCCTTGATGTGGAACAGTCTTGACAATTTCGGCCTCCTCTTCAGAATCAGATTCCTCACCTTCCTCATCGGACTCTACAAGTCTCTTCTTGCCTTTCGAAGAAGATTCCTCATTTGTGTCCTTTCCTTGGAAAAGATTAACGAGCTGTGTGAGACTCGAACCCATTGCCTCCATCTGTTTCTCCAATGCATCCAGTCTTGCTGAACTATCTCCTTCAGTCATCTTCTTCTTCTTCAATCTCTGAACACCTTCCAAAGAAATAAGGATCTTGCCTAGCTTCTTGCATTGCGATCGAGTAAGGACCATACACAAGACCCCCCTTTCACATGATCTAATCGCTCTGATACCAACCTGATACGTGTCGCCAGACGAGCACTCTTGATCGTGGAATTATCAAGAGTGGGTTGTAAATAAGACAAAAGAAAACACGCAAGAACTGAGTTGGTCGAAGGAAAATACCTTCTCTAGATTATGAGAATTAATTAGATTACAAATCTCTCTCACAATCTCTCTAGATCAAAAGAATAATCTCTCTGATCTCCTTTCTCAATACAATCTGGTTTCTCATTGTTTAGAACCCTAAAACAATCCTACTTATAGAGTTTACAACGTGGATGACAAACTTGTAATTAAACAAACCAAAATCAAACAGGAAAACATAGTCTCAAACGAACCAGGAAGGCTCAGGAAACTGTCGTGGTCGACCAGATCCAAGGACCAAAACCAAAATCGACTACAGGGTTTTGGTGGTCGACCGCCGAGTTTGTCGCGGCCGACCGCGAAAAGTCCAGAGACTTTTCTGTGCTGTGCATGCTCGCGGTCGACCGCGGTATCACGTGCGGTCGATCGCTGGAAGCTCAAAATGACTCCTGCAGTCTTTTCCTATAATCTTCGTCTTTGCCATCTTCAACGACTTCGTCCACGTCTCTATTCTCAAGATACCATGAGAATTATCTATCCTCAAGCTCCCATGAGGATCGCTAAGCTCCCAAAGCAAGGAAGAAGGTACACCCGTATCAACTATAAATAAGGATACTATTTTCAATAATAAGCTAAGATCTTGACATCTATTCACTATGCTTAAGAACTACTACAACTCATTTTACTTCTCCACTCAAGGAAATCACTGACTTGATCATCGAAGAAACAACCGGGAAACCGAACCTATCCCTCTTACGATTTGTTACTTGTGCAGGGAAGAACAACTTACTCTAGAACCAGACATTCAGAAGGTTAGAGAACCTCCGCTAACTTAATCACTTATTTCATTTGATTGTTTGATATCAGACATCAACAAGAAAAATCACTAATTAGACCTCCCTTTCTTCGTGCAAACTGTCCAATTTGCTTGAGGAGAGAAAAGATGATAATGGCAACTAATAAGTTATAAAAGAGTGAGGGACGTTTTGAATGTGAAATTAATGGACATAAATAAGTTCTTAGAAATTAAAATTATAAAATTTGCTGAAGTTTGAGAAACGCACAACTGTAATTGTCTTTGAAAATAGTAGATTTTGAAGCTTTTAGGAGAAAGAAATAGATAATGCAACCACAGTTGGTTTTATTAGGACCAATTAAGCTATTCATTTTACTTGAAATAACTATGTATCAATTATTATAAAGTGGTGAATGGAAGCTGAGGAGCTAAAGTTCTAAGAAGTTGGCAAGTGGCAATCTCGGATCTTACTAGTATATAGGATAGGTTTTATTAGTTTAGGGAGTTATAGAGAGGGGGGTTATTATTTTAAAAGTTGAGAAGAATTATCTATAATAACTTCATAATTGAGCGAGGTTTTTTAAAGTTAAAATAGCTAAAAAAAGGTTTTCTACGATGACCCCCATAGTAAAATTAACCCTTTTAAAAATTCCTTGAAGAGCTTTCGTCTTCCAAGAAGTCAAGTCACCCAACTAGAATTACAAATGAAACAACTAGAATTACAACTGAAAATCTCTCTCTACTTAATAATTTAAGAGAATAGGAGCTACATGTTTATAAAGTCAGCAACAGGTCAATCAGCGGACTTGTAAAGCTTATTGCTTGAGCGCACACTAAGCACTAAAGAGCAATCAGAGTAACTTTCAACTCCACACTTCAGGAATGTCATTCAGACTGCTAACAGTGGCTATACTGGCTAAAAGTTAGCATCTAAAATACTAAAAAAGGAAAACATAGCATACGCAAATCAACACACTCGCGGAAAAAAAAAAACATTGATTCAGACTCCTGCCGATTAAAATCTTAAACAGTTTTGAATTGAACGATGGTCTCAATCAGATTAGTGTACAGCTACATATTCTATAAGAACACACCGAATCTACTACAAGAAAGACACTAGAGAACACCTTCATTCTGTTACACCTTGAACGAGTGTCCAAACAAGCTCGGGTGATAGTCTGATATAAATCTAAAAACTGTAGAAACAATTGCAGTCAATAGGGTAAGTATGCAGGTCAAAGTCAGCTCGTTTCATCAGTGAGCCTGCTTAGGATTCAATCTTCTCTAAGACCTTCCAGTACCTTGAACATGACGGATTCAAATGAATGGCCCTAAGAATCCATGTCCGAGGGCTCTGAGATAGTTCTATGTTGTGCTGTTGCTTAGGCCCAGAATTGGAAAGCAAGTGCATTTGGAAATAACAGTTCAGCAGGCCTCATTTCTGTGGTAAGGAAAAGTTAGGAAAAGGTAAGGTATAAATAAAACTGAGACTAAGAAGGATATTTAATTCAGTGAAGATAACAACCAGGCGGCCAAGAGAACCATTCAAAACGGAGGTTCTTCTCCCACTTGGCTCTTGCACCTAAGCTTGCCTCTGCTTGAGCCAATAATGCCGAAACAATAGGCAAAGGAAAAGGTGAAGTCTCCTGAGCCTTTTTAAGGCTGGTTACCGCATGCTGTAAAAACTCAGAACCTGCCCGCTGCCTAGCAAGCTCCATACAAATTGCACCTGTCAAACCATCAGTTAGTACTAATAAGGTTAATTCCAAGGATATAAGAAAATTTCGAATTTTGCATATCAGTGTTGAGATTGTCGAGATATACCACAGGACAAGATAGTTATGTTATCTTGAGTAAATAAAAGAAGATCAAACTTCACGAGAAAAAATCTAGAATAATTACTATGAGAATATTAGAGATCCAACTTATTAAAGAGCAACGTGCAACTCATGCATGCACTAGTACTACTACAAAGAGCAACATCTCCAAATATTCATCTAGAATTGTAAGCAACATTACCACGCAGAATTGTAAGCAACATTCCCACCTAGTTTTGAGGTACACTCAAGGAAGCTATAAAACATGTTGCTCAAAGATATCCTCTTCAACCAAATTCATGTTTCTTAATATGCTATCTAGTGTCAATTAAAACCACTGGCTGCTTTTATCAAGCAAGCTAACAGATACAATCAAAAGCACATATAAATCATCTGTCATTCCCAAAATTAGCTCTGCACTACAATCTAATGGCAAAAAAAAAAAAACAAGAATTAAGTTTAGAACCCTTCACT